TCCTTCCTTCCTTCCTTCCTTCCTTCCTTCCTTCTTCCCTCCCTCCTTCTCTCCCTCCCTCCTTCTCTCCTTCCCTCCTTCCCTCCCTCCTTCCTTCCTTCCTTCTTTCCTTTCTTTCTTTCTGTTTCTTTCTTTCTTTCTCATTCTGTCTCTCTGTCTCCTCTGTCTCTCTCTTTCTTCCTTTCTATCTCTCATTCTTGTTTTCTTCCTTTCTGCCCTTTTTTTTTTAAATCGCTCATGGGGCTCAGGCCCTTGGAGTTATATCTAATCTTTTCCACTCAAGGCTAGTGCTCAACTACTTTGAGCCCTAGTGCCATGTCTGGTTTTCTGGTGGTTAATTGGAGACAAGACTCTCACAGGCTTTCCTACCCAGGCTGCCATCTCACTGTGCTCCTCAGATCTCAGCTAGGATCAGAGGCGTGTGCCCCCAGTGCCCAGCCAGCTGGGTCTGACTTCTTGTTCCCTGGTTTGGATCATCTTTGTGTCTTAGAATACCGTGATTACTAGTGTCCCTTCTTCATGGTGAGGGCGAGGGCGAGTGGATGAGCAGTGTTATAAGTGATCATGGCCCCTACTAGATGTCAGTCATAGACTCGAGTTCCTGCAAAGTCAATCAATTAGGCTTTCAAATCTCCATTCCCTCAAAACAAAGACAGTCAAAAAATAAAAGTCATGGCTGACTGGAGCAGGGGTAGCATGAGGATGTGCAGGTGGATGCTCTTTTACCTCGTAGAACCTCACAGTCATAGTCTCCTTAGCAACTGCAAAACCACACGAGGGCATTTAAGAGGAATGACACATAAATGGAACTCAGACATATTAATTTATTCTCATGTATGTCTAAATATCTTCTCAATGTTGTGCAATGAAATGAACTCGAAACATTTCCTAGAGCCACAGACAGCACTGCTTCATAAGGAAATCTTTGCAAATTAGTTGCAAAAGGTGACACAGAAATAATAAAAATTAAGAACATTCCAACAAGCCAAAATATTTATATTTAAATATTTCACTTATCAGACAAAAGCAAAACAAAAGTTTTCTCACAGACCTGGCTACAAGGATTATCAGTAATAGTGGTTAGAAAAAAACGAGGAGGCAAATTGGATTATACATATGAATTATTCATTTGGATGATGGACACGGAGGTTAAGAGACAGCAAATATTCATAAAAAACAACTCAAAGATGGATAGATGATAGAGAAAATCAGACGGATGGTTCTGGAAAAAGAGCAAAGGATAAGACCCACTACTGAAAGCGGTCTCTCTGTTTCCAGATTCAAGCATTCATTTAATAGAAGCTGGAGAATCGGTATCTTCCACAGCATGGACGGTAGCATCCATACCCGTAGCTTCCAAAGCCAGAGCCGTAGCCAGAGCCCCAGCCGTAGCCGCCATAGCCAGAGCCCCAGCCCAGCTTGCCCAGGCTGCTGCATCCGCAGCCATAGCCACAGCCCAGGCCTCCGAAGCCTCCGTAGCCGTAGCCCAGGCCTCCGTAGTAGCTGCCGTAGTAGCTCATGGTGTCAGTGTGGTTAGTTTGCTGTGCAAGGTGGGATTCTGAATGTGAGTGTCAGCAAACTTTACAGCAAAGCTTATATATGCTAGTCAGAGCAGGTGGTAAAAATCACATGACCCTCCTTTTAATGCCATTCCAAGGATTGTACTCGCATGAGACAACTCATGAGTTTGTTGTTACTTAAAGAAAAAGACATGGAACATTTGATAAGAATGTGTGAGCTTGTTTGGCGACCTAGTTAGATCGTCCAGCAGCTTATTGCTTTAGTTTTATTTGAAGGAATTGCAAGAATGAACATAGTGAACCCTAATAGGACTTTATTACTGGCTACATAACCACATTCTGATTACCTTCTTGATTATATCATTAAATATAGTTTCAGTCATGTTGATAATGATTTGTAATAACTGATCATACAAAGCTTTTAAGTATCCAAGATTCCTAAAGCCAAAAGCAAGATCCCTAAATATATCCATTTCTCCACATATTTAGAATCGTAGATTTGACTCACTGGCTACATGTAACAGCAAAGAGCAACGGTCACGTGACTTCTAGTCTTTAAACTTTGATCATGCACAATTGTCATATGTAACTTTGACATTATACACAAGCATGTGAACGATTTGTTTATGCTCACAATGTGGCTCAAGTAAAGAGACAAGTTAGAGTAATAAAAACCCTGCTTTGTAAGTCCTGCAAGAATTCTCTTTACCAATCCATTGTCCTTTCTTCAGAGTAATTGGCAGCTTTGGGGTTCTCTCTCTACTTTTTGTCCTTAGTCCATGGACCTTGTACATTTTACAAACCTTACTTCAAATATCATCAAATTCCCTCTTTTTCCTCCTCCCACCATTTCTTTTCTGTGTCCAAGTGAAGCAGATGATAGGAATTTTGTCTTCCACTGATTCACTCAGATAAACACTGTGTCACTCTATTTTGATCTTCTGAATCAACATAAAACATCTACCAGTGTCTCCACCTTAACTATTTTGTGTTTGTAATGAATTAGATCTCTTATAGATACATGTTTCATGTTTAAAACTTATTTCATCACTTAAAAACCATCTGGATTTTTTAAAAAAGATATGAAGAAATCAGAAGAGCTTAGTAAACTCTCTAATTATCAGACAACAATACAAAAAAATAAGGTAGGGGATAAGGAGATATTCTCCAGGACAAGTTAGACTGCTACCTAACAATGCCATCCAGCTCAGTTTACAAGAGGTGGCGATGTTCAGTGTTGATCTCATGGCTGAACCTCAACCAGACGCACCCATTTCTTGAAACTTGGGACTCATAAAATTTATTTATTTTATAGGAGCAATCATATTGCTGTTTCTTTATGGGATTTATGAGGAAAATTTTTTGATACAAATTTAATCCCCTAATAGTTTATTCATCAATGGAAATAGGCATGTTCTTTATTTCCAGGGGCCATATTCACTACTTTGACCTAGTGTCAAATAAAGCCAAGCTTCCAGCTGGCATTTTTCCCAATGATGGCTATGACTTTAATTTGTATTAAAGTTAGGGCTATTTGCAGCATAACTTATGCAACACACTGAGCATTCTGGGTAGTGTTTAAGTCAGGGAGGGTTGTTGCAACAAGATTTCTGGCATGAGAGTAGCATTTGCCCAACTCTTGCTTTGCTCTATAATTTCTGGGCTGTTCTAATACTACTTGTTGCATTTTATTCACCATGTCAGAAAAATATTGCTAAGATAAACGTTCCTGTTTTTAAAGAATCATTTAGAATTGTGGGTAGATTGTATAGCTAAGTATTTCACATTCTTCCTGTGCAGGTCTGTAGAGCATGTGACTATAATCAAAGATAGATATTGTTTTGGTTTTTATACATAAGCCTGTGTCTATAAGTAAACATGATATAAGATCCCAATGATATATTTAATGATTTTAAACACTAAATGTATTTTCAGGTAAGAAAACATTTGTCTATATTATGTGTAACTTTTTCATAAAAATATGTAATAAACATGTTATTTCATATATCATATTTTATGACCATATATTTCAAGATGTGCATATAACATGCACTGATCAATTCTGAATAATTACCATTTCAATCTCATTATATACTGTTTGAAATACTCTCTATATTCTAATTCATTTATACACCCCTTGCATCTGTAAACTTGTAGGCATCATATTACTAAGCTTGATTAGGAATGTACATGTATATGTATATACATAATTGAATAATTATGAACCAAAAAGAGCCATGTTTTCAATTTCATACTAGTTTATTTATTAGGAATTAGGCAGAAACTAGTTTATGGTCCCAAAGCTGGCAGAGCAGATTCGCATGGTTGATAGGTTGTGAGGAATTTCATCTCCTTAACTGAAGAAAAGAAATTCCATATCACTGATATGAAGAAACCACAGTAGCATTTCAGTAGAAGCTGGAGAATCCATAACCCCCATAGCATGAAGGACGGCAGCAGCCACAGCCATAGCCCCCAAATCCAGAGCCATAGCCGTAGCCTCCATAGCCAGAGCCCCAGCCTAGTCTGCTATAGCCGCGGCATCCGCAGCCATAGCCACAGCCCAGGCCTCCGAAGCCTCCGTAGCCGTAGCCCAGGCCTCCATAGTAGCTGCCGTAATAGCTCATGTTTGTCAGTGGAGTTGGGTTTAGCTTGCTGTTCAAGGTAATCCTGAGTATGATTGTCAGAGTGTGTCCAGGGGGCTTATATACCCTGAGCAGAGCAGGTGATCAGCCTGTGGCCATTTTTTTCTATCATTCCAAATTATGAATATACCTGAAGCAACTCATGAATCTGTTTGCTAACACGAAGTGAGGCACTCAACTCATTAAAACTTTTGAACTTGCTTCACTGCCTTGTTAGAATGCCCTTGAATTCCTTGCATTCCTTTTTTTATTAGACAAGACACATTTCTTCAAAGATACAAAACTAAAATTCCCTGAACAGAATTCTTCACTGCCACTCATAATGCATCATTCATATAGTTGTGGTTTTCTCATTTCTATGCATTCCATTAAATAATTATTTCTCAGCTTAATATATCATGGATGTGCCCTTACCCAAAAGGAAGCATTTTAATAAAGTTTACTATCACCAATCTACAGAAAGTAATGGAAAGCAGTCATAGACATAATAGAAAACTGTTTTAATTTTACCCATCCTCATGCAAATACCTCTTTAGTATACAGAATAGAAATTTTGAACTGCCCAATAGAACAAACGTGTGTTTATAAACAGTCTGAATCATTTTTTAAAAAATATTCCACTTATACCATTCTTGTCTTTCAGCAGTCTTCTGCACAGCTCAGCAGACCCCAGCTGTTTGCTTTGCACGGGTGACTTCTGACTTTTCTTCCTTTTTCTACAATGCTTCATGATTCGCATATCCTTTTCTTTGTATCAAACCTCTCTTACTACTCATTCATTTCCAATTCATTTTACCACCATCTAGGTCGCTTTTTCTTATGCAGTTGTTGGCCCAATAAAATATGTGTCTCTCTATTCATGTATCCAATTTGATCAGAGTACTTTTGTTCTTATATTTTCAAATTCTATGTACATTACCCACCTATTTCCTCTAATCAATTAATTTTTACCTACTTATTATGTTCTCAGAAATTTAAGCCATAGTTCTATACTCTTGGGATCCTGGGCTACTTTTAAAACCTTGATGCCTTAAAAATATCTAAATATGAATCTCAGTGTGGAAAGAACTGAGAGAGGAAACAAAGATGGTGGTGTGGTGACAGGTCTTCTCAGATTTCTCAGCTCACTTCAGAAACAGGAGATCAGATCATAATTAAGCCCCAATGGACTCTGGACATATTTTAGCCTTGGATCTTTAATTGGTATTTTATTTCACACGACTTTAAACATGTTCTTGAAAGCATTTCTGCTGATTTGTTTGCTTTATCTTTTTAAGCCTTTATAAATGGAATTCTTGGTAATAGGTTCTTTCAGCTAGATGTGTTCATGGGTTGTGCAAAGGAAATAAATGTATGTTGGATGAATTAAACAAGTGATTTTCACATATTTCTTATACCTTGTAGTAAGTCTCCAAATTAGAATATGTACTTAAAGTGACTTCTATGTTCTGAAGGCATAATTAACCCAATATTTGCTTTGGCTATAAAATCCCTTTCCTTCTTTATCAAAATTCATTCTACCTTTACTTATTTTTATCATTACTTTTCATTCCAAATAATGAAATTTTTGGTGAAATTTCTATCAGTGAGTCATTTTAAAATCATGTAGTGATAAATATATCTATCAAGGTTAGGAATGTCATGAATGTTTATGTAAATCTGCTATTTTGTGTGAAATGATACATTCTTTAGATGCATACTCAAGAAATATGCATTTTGCAAATTAAAAGAAGCCAAAAATGAAGTATGATGCAATTTGTGTTTGTGTTTTCATAGTGGCAAACAATGATATATCTACCCACCATCTATGTATCTATCACTTGTCTTCCTATATTAATATATATACCTCACTGTGATATGCTTACACACATATCTACATATCAAGGATAAATTATGAAATAATGATATGAAATATATAAATCAAATCATCCAAAATGTATTTATTCATTCTCCAGGAAAGTCAGTCATTCAGATATTGATTACTCCTGGAAACTGGATATATATATGTATGTATATATATACATACACAGATGTATATATATATATATATTTATATGTATATATATATACATACACAGGTGTATATATATATATATATTTGTATGTATGTATGTATCTTGTGAAATTGTTTTCCACTTAAGTCAGCAAACTCAAAGACATGGCCAATTGTCATCGCCCTTTTCATAAATATCTCCAAAAAGGCAATGAATGGATTGTGAAGCTAAGGGACTGTGTTAATATTGTAAAACAATGACAACAAAGTCTTCCATTGGCCAAAGTGACAGCCTGTGTTTAGAAGGCAAAGATACGGTTTCCAAACATTGAAAATGTTTTCTTTGTTGTAATATATATGTATGTTGTAGAAAGGGGTTTTATTGCGATATTTTCATACATGTATATAATATGTTCTGATCAAATTTACCACCTCTAATACTTTTCCCTATCCCTGACCCTTTTCTTTTTACAAGTTTAATGGATGTTAATATTCTTTTTTTCATTTTAAGTACATAAAACACTTACATCACTGCACCCCACCTAGTATTTCAAGGAAATACAAATCGGAAGAACACAGCCCAGGTTAGCTGGAGGTATGGCTCCAGTGACAGACAGCCTGTCTGTGAAGTATAGATAGATAGATAGATAGATAGAGTAAAATATAGATAAACATGAAAGTGAAATTGAAATTTTCAATTCTCTGTATCATAATACTAAAATATTATAAAAATAGTGATGAAATCTTTTTGTCACATTCCCATAAAATCAGTTGACTTTATGAACCCTGGACATAATTCTCAGCCCTTTCATTTAGAATTCTCAAACCCGCAATTTAGAATGGAGTATTGGAAGATGAACAGAGTTATCTAATTCCCAGCCGAGTTGAAGAAGATTCTAGGCTATGTAGACAAAGGGTATCAATTGAAAATGTCAGCCAGATTTCTGAGGTGTCAAATTCCTTAGTACAAATCAACCCAGAATGACTTTAGATGTCCAACAAATGAAATCAGCTTTGCAAAAGTTCCCTTTTAAATGCAGATATTGCTTAGTAGAACCTATAGCAGCCATATTCCCCTCAGTGTGGAGGACGGAGGCAGCAGCTTCATGGCCTCCATAGCCACAGCCACACCGGTAACCTCCACATCCAGAGCGCATGACCAGACTACAGAAGCTGCCAGACACAGCCTTAACCACAGCCTGCACCTCTGTAGTAGCTGCCCTAGTAGCTCAGTGTCAAGGGAGGTAAACTTCATTTACTGTTCAAGACAAAATCAGGACTGTCTGTAGTAATATCTTGACAGAGATGCTTGTAGTCCCTGATAAACAACATGGGTTTCTTCTTTCATATCATTCCATGAATTATATTTCATGAATTATAGATATATTATCGATCCCCTGTGTGGATGCCTTAGAACCTCTTCTGTGCATGCCTTTTCAAGTATTTCATTTACTTTTAATTAGGCTTTTAATATTTTACTATTGATTAGCAGCTCTTTACAAATTTTTATTACAGTTGTTTAATTAAATACACGTGTCTTAACACAGTCTGAACTTAGTTTTTTTTCCTCCAAATTATATTGTCTCTATATGAGTAGACTATAATGTAATGAAGTAACAAGAACCTACAATAAAGTCTATAATAATGTCATCTTTTTGTGTCATGTTTAGTGATTTTTATCTGTGTTTTAATGATTTTTTCATCAGAATTTTTTCTATTGTAAATGATTAAGGAAATTAAATCAGCACTTGGTTATTTGAATCCAGTAAACCCTTGGAGTATATATGAAGTTCATTGTTCTAAAGAAAACCCTTGGGGAAAATCTGCAACTGCTCAAGATGTAGAGTTTAGAGCGTACTGCAAATGCTCCATATTTCTCTCACAAAATCGCCTAACTTCTGCCAAAGATATGTCACCATTAGTAGCATTGGCTTTTATTTGATCATGATTGGTCAAAATTGCAGTAAGTCCACATATCAGGCAAAATTAGTGCATTGTATTCTCATTTCAGGTCAAAGACATAAAACCATAAATAAATCAAATTGATCCCAATATGTCATACTCTCCTGATTTAAATTTGCCCATTATGGACCCATTGGGGCTTTACAATCTTGTTGTTATGCTCCTTGTAATTAAGGATAGTCAAGTGTTTTTCTTCTAAATCTTGCAGTTTCACAAAAGCAACAAATTCAAGGTCTAAATAGTATGACAATACTGTACTGAACTAAGAATATGAAATATTTTCTACAAGAAATTATGTTGATTATGATTCTAATTTATCAGCACAGGAAACCTTCCTTCATAATGGGAAAAATGCAATTAACTATTCAGAAAGTGGAATGGGTGTTCTTAGATGTGGCAGATTAAGTTGCATGGTCCTCCAATGGAGCTACTGGGCTGTGACTAATGCAGTCAGTGTAGAGCAATCTACTCTAATAATGCCTACACAAAGAGAGAGCTCCCTTGTCGACTGAACACATTAAATCTTATACTCAATAGGCAAGTTTGGGTCTTCCTGATTAATCTTAATATGTTAATGCCATTTGAATTTAGCAGTGTTAGTTTTTTTGTTGCTGTTTTTTTTTCAAATTCCACTATGTATATATTAAATGGCCTCAAGATTCTTCCACCTCTAAAATGTCAAATATAAAGAGATGTTGATGGTGGCAAGTTGAGTACTCCTCAAATATTATTTGGAAATTACTTATTTGAAAGTGCAAGAGAGAAAATACAAAACCTATATCAGAGCTGCATTTCTATAAACGAATGTCATATGGTTTAGTTTAAGGTAGTAGGGTAATTTAATGCAAAGAAAACTAAAGAGAAAATACACTAATCGAAGTAGCAATCAATAACAGCAATATACACAACACAGACAGTCGTAAATGATAAACACTTAGACTTTTATTACATTTCAGCCTTTATGGTACTGGACATCGAATTTCATGTCTTGCACATGCTAGGCAAGTGACCTACCACTTGAGCTACA